AGGAATGCATTTAGGCTTCTCCTGCTTAACCTCCATTGTAACGGCAAATCATCTTATTACATATCCATTACTGATACCAGGACAGGTGAGCAAGATACTGAAATGATTCTTAACAAATGCTGTTAAAGTTGCTGCTACAGTATGGCAAGCATCATATTTTTAATCTCATATTATCTCATATTAATCTCATATCATCTGGCCTGGGGCGAGGAGGGGGATTATCAAGTGTGGGGTTGGCTAGTCTCTTAGGACTAAGGGACATTGGGGGGAGATGGGCGGGGGACAATTTAATTAATAATAATAATAATAATAATATTTTTGTCAAATGCGCTTTCAACGTTTGTTGTAATAGGAATATTACAGATGATTATTCAACATAGATTATTTTAAAAACTGCATTTGGAATCTATTTATGTATTTGGTGGTCTTGTGTGAACATTCAAAGGTTTTGGAAAAAGGTTTTCAACTGAAATATTGAAAATATTCTTTGAAATATTGAAAGTGTAAATAATTGAGCCAGATACTCTGCCAGATGCTAGGTTAGCCTTATCAGCATTTCAGGAAACAAATGAAAATTAGCTGCATAAAAGATTGATAATATTTTTGTTAGTGGCTACTAGACAATATATAACCCACATTTGGAACATAGGGAATAATCTTTCACTATTGGTCTGGATTCAACAATGTTGACAAATAGTCCTAATGGAGAAATTGATGGGAAACAAAGGGGAAAGGTTGGTTGTAGCTGAAGATTTTCTAACAGTTTGATATAACTTTATTGAGCATCCCCAAGGTACCAATACACATACTCCTCCTACTAGTATATATAGTAGTCTACGGTCAGATATTTATTCATTTAGAAAGAACCACTGAACATTGTATTATTCTCTACTATTTTTTATTAGCATATGTAATGTATTTGGAAGTTGTGTACAGTAACAAAATTATCTCATTGTACTATGTTCTTATAGAATAAAAAATAAAACAAATGCAAGTTCAAAAATACGTACATTTTTTAAAAAGTTTAATCAAATTATTCTTGCAAAGTAGCATTAATTTTCAGAACTGAAGAACTTTACCAAGCTAGTGTGTTCTTCTTCATAAAACATCAAGAAAACCTTTCCTATTGCATATGTGTTAATATGAGATTAGAAAAATAATGGTTTGTTTTTTTCCATCTTTCCTCATTCTGCCAGCTCTCTCACTCTTGAGCCAGCCATGTTATGTACAGAGGGGGCATTAAATTTTATGTTATTCTATTGCACAATTACAATAAGTAATATCCCTGTGACAAAACAAAAGGATTGCAATATAGTCACTTCCTATTACACTGGTTCACAGGAATCGGAGAACTGTGTGTGCTATTTTACAGGTCTGATTTTAAGAAAAAGCAAGAGTGGCAGAAAAAGCAAACAATTTATCAATCTTGATGGAAAGTGGATATGGGCAGAGATTTCCCATTGCAATAAGATTTCTAGTGAAGCTTTAGTACTGATGTTTAAAGTTGCATATATCCATACAGATTACTATGCAAATGAATATCCTCTATTGTACTGGGTGTGTATGAAGAGGCATTTGCTGATTTTGATGTCATCACCCCAGACATCAATCTTGGGGGAAAAAGTTGCTTTAAGGCCATTGATTTGAATGAAAATTAAGTCTAACCTCTTTTGAACTATAAATCTGAGGATCAAAGTGCACTAAGCATTAATCAGTTTTAGATTGCTAAGGGGTTGAGGAAGAAGAGACAGCTAAAACTACTGCACCAGTGTAAGGCAGGTAACTTGTGGCTTTTGTAATGATAATACAATTCTCAGCAGCCCTAGCTATCATGGTCTATAATCAGGAAAGCTGAAAGTTGTAGTTCAGTGAAAGGCTACCGGCTCCCTGGCCCAAAAGCAAGGATAACAGAGATAGAATAGCCTAAGAATTCAATCTTTGGAGTATATTGTTGAGTAGGGCTACTAATCTGGAATGCAAAAATCTGGATGATCACTGAATAGAAGCAAGGAATTACAGGTAGCTCTTGTTTAACAACCACAATTGGGACAAGCAACTCAGTCGTTAAGCAAAGCAGTTGCTAAGTGAAACCACAACTGTGCTTATAATCTTACTTCAGCTTTCCTTTGCTTTACAGATCCGTGAAGGTTGTGAATGCAAGGATTGGTTGTAAAGTTAGTTTTTCATCACTGTTGTAACTATGAACCATTGCTAAACGAGGCAGTCGTAAACAAGGACTACCTGTACACTGTTCTGTATGTTGCCACCATCTAGTGGTCATCCTGAGTTTTACATCTCAGATCTGATAAGTTTTAATGAATTGGGCAAGCATAGATATCTGTTTCTTGTGTGCACAAATCCTTGTAGCGAACAGATGACACTGAAGCTCTTCCAGTCATGAGTTACAGAAACTAGAAACTTTGCAGTCCAGATCTGGTAGTACTAGAGTTACAAAATTCATTTTCTTTAGTATAAATGTTTTAGATACCTTAAAAAGATATCATTACAGAGATACAAATAACAGAGTTAGATTACTGAAGCATGGAGAACACACAAAAATGATTCTTTTTTCAAGCAATCAGGAAAACCTGACAGTTGGAATAAAAAAAGGTAAGCATATATTTTTCTGCAAGAGCAAAGGCCACTTCAGTAGATTAAAGGCAACATGAAATTGGCAGGGAAGAAATGTGTGTTTTTTAGCCTAATAGCCTTTTAATGACCATTTCCACTTATGTCAATTGCTTTGGAAGAACATCAGTGCTTCTAAGCTGGGAAAGATGTATCTTGTTCTCAGCACAAGACGGAAGAACATGTCCCTTTACAATTGAGGTGGATACTCCATTAGTTTTAGACTCAGCCAACTGTGATGAGAAATCACACTAGGATATCTCCGGCAATAAGAAAAACTCAGATAAGGACTGAAGGACATACAAGACTCTCCTGTCCTGTTCCCCTGCGCTAATCAGAAAGCATCCACAGGCACTAGTAGCTCCTGTAAGGCTGGAGCTGTATTTTTGGAAGTGGGGCCTGCCTCAAAGTTGCATTTCATCAGATCAGAAACCAAGAGAATGCCCTTCACTTGGTTTTACCAGGAAGGGCCACGGAATCGCAGCCCTATGTCAGGCAGGTTCATGACCTTTTCACTGCTGTTCACAGACATTTCTAATGAGCATCTTTTTTTTTTTTTTTTTAAAAAGGGCAACCAAGAAGATTGCTCACGAACTCATGATTTGATGGAATACTGTGCCGTGACTTCCTCTACCCCACTGAAACTATCCTAAAAGCTACAGGATTGATCTAATGTGTGTTGTATCCATAAATAGCAGCTGTGCATTTGGGGTATGCCAACAGAGATGTACACAGCAGATAAACGGCCACGGATTTAAAGCTATCAGCTGTTGGTTCCCCACCAGGAATTCTCTTGTCTTGAACAGCTTACCATGAAGGGTTTATATTCCTAACTTTATTTCCTTCTCAGAAATGACCCTTTCCTTATGGTGAGAGTGGCCTTCTAATAGCAAAAAATATTGTCATTGCCAGAACATGAATAATCAACTCAAATTAATTAATCCAACCTTCCAAGTATCTTTTTAACACCAGCATAATGCAGGAGCCAAGAAAGCTCCCAATTACCTATTGGAAACATGCACGTGATCCCTTGTGTGCCTGCTACTTTAAAAAGGACAGTCCTCTGTTGGGAGGTGTGTTCTTTGAAAGGATGCCACATCTTTAAATCCTGTCGAAATTTAATTAAAACCCTAAACTAGAACAGAGACCTTGATGTTGTCCTTCAACAGTAAGCGTCTAGGCAGCAGATCACATAACGTATTGAAGAAAACTGACACCAGATGACTTAAGAACAAATGAGCATGTATATCAAATATACATATGCAAATTTTATGTAAATTGCTATTTCCCTTTGTGAAAATTTAATCTCTTTGGAAGATATGCAAAGTAGCCACCCTTTGTGTAAACATGCACAATGTCTGCTTATTCATCTACAAGAACATGCTAACAGCAAAAAGGGACTATGAGACTTGGGCTGCAAAATTCCAGATGTCTAAATGGCAGCAAAGAAGCTAAAAGCCTCTCTAAAACTTTGCTGCCATCTAGTGATCACCTGGATTTTAGAGGTCAGGTTTGATAGTCTGAGTGTTACTAATTTCTCATCCATTGCCTCAACAGGAATGTTTACCATTTTTATTAAAATACATTAGCAAAACATCAACTGAACATTGAGTAGGCAATTATGTTATTGTACTGATATTGCTAGAAACTGTTCTGCGACCTTCCCAATATTGTAAGATGCCTTGTCATAAATGAATCCACCATTGCTTTATACAGCATTGTGCAGGAACAGTTATTGGCATATATCTTATCCATGAGCATGAGTAATGACCCAGCAAGTTTTTGGAAATAGGCTTTAAATGATATAAATGCTGTTTCATTCTACGGATCCAGTTGCTATTGAATAAACTGAAAGATACTGGCAATGATGAATTTGCAATCTGGCAAGGAAGTGAACAGGAACACTGGTATTTTCTCTCATTGAGTAGGCAAAGCCAAGGAATACCTGGATCAGGGAAGGAATGTTCTAAAGGGAAGTGGAATTCTTCTGCCTTCACTAGCCCAACCAAGGGGGGGGGGGTGTTTCCTGTCCTCCAGGCAAGATGTCACCTGGGGGATAAATGATGTTGGCTTCGGAATAAATGATTTCATTTCCTTTAAGACTGTAACGCGAGAGCCTTTCTATATCTGTAAATGGAACTTATAGTCAATGTCGAGCTGAGCAGTTTAGAAACAAATTAAATGGGAGGAAACACTATTTTTAAAATACACATCTCCACTGAACAAGGTCCTCCCATGCCCAGGCACACAGCTTCTCAGTGTCTACTCAGATGTAAACCTTACCAAGTGCAGTGGGACTTTCTCCAAGTTAAGTGGATATGGAATTGCAGTTTAAAGGGCATTTAGTGTACAAAACAACAGGAGTTTTTACATTTTTATTAAAATATTTTAATAAAACATCAGCTAAACATAGAGTAGGCAATTATCTGTCACTGTACTGACTATTAGAAACTGTTCTGTGAGCTTTTCAATATTATAAGATGCCTTGTCACAAATATTAATCCAGGGCAAAAAAAGAGAAAAGAATAAAAAGAAAATGCAAATAGGCCTAAATAGAAACCCTCACTTTTGCTTCAGCTCTGGACATCAGTAAAGAACCTCCTGTGATCTGCAGTTTACAAATCTTTTAGACTTTATACTTGACCCAGTTTTCTGACCCAAATAACATTCTTTATCGATATTGAGCAACTCCAAAATAACGAGTGAATTTTTTATTTGGAGTATTAGAAAAAAGCCTACTAACTCTTGTAACTAAAATGCAAAAACATAAAGGATATACTGAAACCAAGCTCTCCTGTATGAAATTTTTAGATGATTAACAGAGGGCCATTCACTAAACCATTCACACGACGATTAACTACTATATGGTGCAAATGGAAGTAACAAGCACAGGACCACTATTTCAAACCAGGATGAGGAGGCAAAAGGACATTTCAATCCTTTCCCTCCTCCTCCAGTTGTTGTAATTGGAATCGGGGGCTCTTTGCAACAAGAGGAAAGTTTTTATGAGTGCCAATGTGAACTTTCTTCTCCATGCAACAACAGGGGAGGAGGGGTTAATCTAGATGGAAAAAACACATGAGAGAAATTAAAGTGGAGAAATTTTCAAAGTCAGTTTGCTGAATGCTGAATACATCATGCTGAATGTTGTTCAATTTTTCGTTTCAAAAGTTGCAAAATGGTTACAATTTAAAAATTCACCTTGTGGCTTAATTATTCCTGGAATTACCAAAAAGGAAAAATATTCATCGGTAGCTGGTTGTGTGTAAGGAAAAAAAAATTGAAATGTCTTATGTAAAAATACAGGTACTAACAGATGAAGTTGCTAACAGTTACAAAGCTCCATCACGTCTATTAAAGTGTCATTATATTAAAACACAAGCACAGGTATCAAGAATGATTTAATGATTAAACACAAAACATAACAATGCAGGTATTTCTGACAAGCTAGTTTTGTTTTATTTTTAGCACAACACATATTTAGACAGCATATTTTGTTTGAATGGTAAAGCTGCTGTATGAAATATGTGAAAACTTTGCAAATCAATACCTAGAAACCAAGACATGTACACATAAGCTTTGAGAACATTACACACACACACACACACACACACACTTATATACATACACACAAAGTAAACCAGTGCTGTCTCATTCAAAAACAAGTGGGGTGGGGGCGAGGGTGGGGAGGGACTGACTGAAGAAGAAACAACTCAAATCTGCAAAGCTAAAAGGAGAACTAATAATTAATCTCAAACATCAGCTGTGCAAGAACATGGTAAACTCATATCTGTACAAACATAAACTCTAATCATATGAACTTGGGGAGACAAGAACTAAGGGAATGAATGGCTTGATACAAAGTACGGTTAGCATGTTAACAGGTTAAAACTCCACCATATTACAGAGTACATTTGTTACAGATACCTGTTTATCAACCAACACTGTAAATGTCTGTATGTGGTTTGTGGGAGGGAATGGTTACAACAAACAGAGATTTCAACAAACATTTCTAAAATAAATTTCAAACAACACAAGAAACTAGAGAAGAAATGGACAATAAGGAAACAAACCTCATTTTGTTCCAAGGGTTTTTCATATAACTATAGTCTGACATGAGCTAATGCAACACTCTGAAAAGGCAAAAACCAGAAAACATTTACTATAGGCACATTTCTAAAGTCAATGAGTTGGATCCAGGAGTTGCTTGTGTGAATGGAAGGCTTTCTATTTGCACTGGGGCACATCCCCAATTTTGCAGAAAAGTTTCCCTTTACAGATGTAGCCTTCTCTGCCCTAGCCCATATTCTATGCTATTCATCCTCAAGGATACTCTGGCCTCAATACTGCAGAGGGAAGGGGAGAAGCCAGGGTTCATCCCAAAGTTTTATTAAACTTTGCAGTAACAAACAAATCAACAAAAACTAGGGGAAAAGGGCAAATGCTTGATTTACCCAAGAACAGCTTTGAAGTATGGTTGAAACAAAGCAGTCAATCATGAGAATAGGGACGTCCCTCAACTTCTGCCATGTTCAGAAATCTGTTTCACAATTTAATCAAGATACCTTTAGCTGGCTTGCCATGGTCCAACCTGAAGACTCAGTCTATGATTTTTCAAGTGAGGGAAAGACTTAGCCATGAAATGGGGAAGGAACTAGCTGTGCCTTCCTCAACAGGAGAAATGGTTAAGAAGAACTCACAGCTGGTTCCATCTCAGATGTCACTGGCAGTTTTGAAAGGAAACCGCAACATTTTCAGGATGCAACACTGGGAACGTTTTGTGGGAGAAAGCCAGGCTGGCCTCCCCAAGCATCCAGTAATGCTTAGAGAGTCAGCATCCCATTCCAGACACTGCCTAAGCAAAACTGAAGTTTCCATTACTAATTATGAAACGTTAATTGAGCAAAAATCGTTTTAAAAGCCAAACTGCTGCAGACTTGCTATAATAAAACAAGAAAAATAGCGAGTCCTGACAAAACTAAATGGCCATTTATTTCAGCAATGGTTTCATTTCAAACAGAACTTATATAGAAGTGTGAGTCTGCCTACTATTGCACATCAGACAGCACACTGTGTCTCTTTGATTTGTGAAAGGAATTAAACAATGCCGCACCTTGGCTGAAGGAAATGCCTCCCTCAAAACAGGCTGTTCACATACTGCGCCAATGACACCTGGTGTTCATGAAGTGTTTACAGGTGAGGGCCCTGCCTTTTCTGAGTTACTACTTCCATAGTAGATAGAATATACATTTCTATATTCTACACCTGAAGATAGCCTTTTGTGAAAAGGGTAATTAAGGAGGCCATATAACTGATTTGGAAGTATAATCACTTCGCAGGAAATGAACAAGGCCATACGCTTGAATGAAAGGGAAACCAACATGTATATGTATCTGAACTTTTCATCCATGACCCTGTGCTTCTCTGCCCTGTGAGAAGCTGCTCCCTTAGAATGAAATAGTTCCATACATTTTCAAACTGGTAATAGGATTTGGGCCCTGCTTTTATTTTAATTTAAGGCATGTGTGTTTTAAACTACTGAAAAAAAAAAAAACTTAAATTTCCTTGTACAAATTACAATAACATGCACTATCTACAGTTAAAAATATGAGTCTGAATTACAGTTTTGTAATTATGAATCCTAATTCAGCACCTATAATATTGACTAGTAAGGCAACAGCAGTGTCTGTCGTACTACAATAATACTTCCTTCCACAGTTTATGCTTCAGTCTATGGTCATCCAGGATTATCAACGTCATCAACTTTAGCTTATGGATAGTTTCTAGGATGTTTTGCACTGGTTAAATCCTACATAAATCGACACTATTCTAGGCAGGAATAGTTACAGTTGCTGTCAAGAGTTATCAGTGCACAACACATATTGTGCTTACAATCAGATTTTGTTGTTGTTGTTGCCTGGGATATCAGAATAGTTTCTCAGTTTGGTCTTCAATCCTTCCTTTGTTTTCTTTGCTTCACATTGTTCTCAAAAGAAAAGCTATTTGTGTACCCGTTCATAGCAGCTGCAGAACCATTCTGATATTCTTTCCTTCTGGAGGCTGCTTTTTTGTTGTAAGTCTTTAAAAAACAACACAAAGACACACAGACACAGGTCAGCAATAGCTTTTGCCACAGTATCAAAGGGAAGGGGAAAATCAGTTGGTTTTTAGTACAAAAGCACCCCTCCTCTTCTCAGACTGTCTTAAGGTGCTGAGTCTGATTTGTGATCATAATTAAGGTTTGCTCAAACTATAGTCTCTGCAATGAAAAAGAAACTATAGTTTATTGCAAAATGTGAACAGAACCTTCTCTTTGTACATCCTATTGGCAGGGGGATGCTCCTACTAATTCAATTCTCCTAATTTCAAGGAGATCCAAAGGGATTCCCAACTAAATCTGGTTGTTATCAATTCTCCTAAGAGTCTGGGATATCCTATCAAAGAGAATCAGATCGAGCTGTAACAACTTTATATCCCCACCATCACTAGAGAAAGAAAAAGAGACAGATCATGCAATACTTACTTCAAAAGGTCCATTTAATTAAATCACTACATAATCTTTTAGAACAATATTTAGTATCTTCTATCTTTACAATAGAAGATGCCTGCTAGGACTGCAATGTTTCAGATTTGAAGGCAAAAAAGGTGTTTTGAGCATATGGGGGCACAAAAGGCTGTAATTCCTTAAAGCAGCTGTGCCTTTTCCTGGGATCACACAGCAGTTGCTGAATGATCCTGAAACTGGGAGAAGATATGTTCGGCTTAAGGAACTGTAGACAAATGCAATACTGATAAAAAGACAGACTCTCCCATACTAGAATCCAACTATCCACACATTTAAGAAATATACTCTGATACATGAACCTTCTAGTAACATTTTTTAAAATTGGTGATTACCATCACACTCCCATACTCCTGGAAAATAGCTAACTTAACTTACCTGAATATAGAAATTTGTGAAAAGGATAATCAAGGAAATCATATAACCAATTTGGAAGTATAACCATCCCAGAGGAAATGAACAAGGCCAAATGACCCCACAGCTTGTCTGGAAGATTGTCAGAACAAATTGAATCTGCAGGGTAAGAGGAGAAAATGGTTATTTAAGGAAACAGCAATGGTGTAGTAGCCAAGCAGAGCATGAATGGAAACATGATAAACCACTTCCTACACTCCTGTTAAAATCTGTATCACAGCACTCCATTCCTAAAAGTTCAGGCTAACTGGAAGATAGGTACTTTTGACATTCAATTAAACTCAAGAACTATTATATAAAACATGAAGAGAGATTACCAAAATGGTAAAGTGACAGCTGTCAGAATGATCAGGGTTTAAACATATCTTGTCATGAGTCTCAAGGCACTAGGAGTCATTTCCAAATCCCTACAGGGACTGGAAAGAAGTTGAGCAGTTTCTCTCCGAGTGAGATTAGCATGGCAATGCTTGACCAAAAAGATGGTTGGCCATAATGTATCTAAGAGGCCTGAAACAGCGATCATGCTGAAAGTGGCCCAGATGTCCTGCCATATGGAATCCCTCCCATCTGACACAAATTGGGACCTCCAGTCTGTCAGATTGCTCTTACAAAAATAGGCACTTTTAAGAGCAAGAGCAGGCAAGTTTTATTCCTTCCCCCTACCCCCACATTAGAACCTGCATATTTTCACAACAGGGTTCCCCAATAGTTGAGTATATCTGATTGTTCAGTATATGCTTGGTTTGGGTTTTTTTGTTTTTTGTTTTGTTTCTGGAGCCTCCGAGTCAGTGTTGACTCCTGGCAACTGCCTGGATGAATCCCTGCAGTTTTCTTGGCAAGATTTTGGAAGTGGTTTGCCACTGACTTCTTCCTAGGGATGAGGGAAAGTGGCTGGCCCAAGATCACCCAGCTGGCTTTGTGCCTAATGCAGGACTAACACTCACAGTCTCCCTGCTTCTAGCCTGATACCTTAACCATTACAGAATCTGCAACTGTCTTGCTAGATAAGTTAAATTAATATTCTTGGAAAGGACACTAGCAAATTGTGAAACATCAGGTCAGGGGTCCTAATAACATCACTGGTGACACCTGCAGATGGTAACCGCAAGACCTTCCAATTAAATAAAATACTGATTTTAAATTTAAAATAAATTATCAAAATCTCCTGAGATCACCAAGTGTCACAACGTTTGATGTTTGCAGTGAATACCTTGCCAATTTTAAGTGAGACTCCCATAATCTTGCAAAATGTTGAACTTTTGTTGTTGTTGCTGAAGCTTATAAAGTCATGCAATGATGCCCAGCAGCTGAAAAAAGTCTGCCTATCTCTATGCTAGCAGTACATCATCTACTGTCCATGTAAACTTAGAGCAAGTACCAAACAATAATTGACTAGGACATGCATTCACCTTTCTTATTCTATAGAGTAGGGCAAAAGTTCTCAAACTCTGCAGTGCTGTGACCCTCAAAAGTGAAAAAATGAATTTTTGCAACTCTACCCTCCCTATGAATGAAACTAATGGTTCACTTGGGGTTAGAGCTGAGCAAGGAATAAATACACTGCTTAGTTTTCATCATTAAATATGAATCTATATATAAAGGAGAACAACAATGATGCCTTCCAACTTTTAAAAATGAAACTATCTCATTGGAAATAAGGAAAAAAAAGCCAATAAAAATTAAAACTGATTTTTAATGGGAAAGATAAGCTTGCTTACTTTTGCATAATTCCTGAAATAATAAGTTTCATTTTAAAGACAACCATTGTCATTCACCAAAGTCAAGATGATAAACAGAAAATGGCATTGTTTTAAATCAGCTTCTCTTAAACTGTTCTTAAAATCATGCAGCTTGCAAAACACAAGCAGGCTGTAAGTTGCTTTTCTTGCTTTCTTTCCCAGTGGGATCACATGGAGGTTTCATTTGCAGCCAATCTTTGTTCCTTTTTATCTCCTCCCTTCCCCTACATCATAATTCTCTCTGCAGAATGAAGCTTAAGTCACCTAGTCAAAGCCCTCCAGGCATGACGATTCCTCCTTTGAAAGAGAAATGAGGTATGTTAAAAAACAAAACAAAATGAACACTCAGGCTTCTCACGCTCTAGAACTACTTCAAACTGATAAGTCTGCTGGAAAAAGGAATCTCCATCTGCTGAGTAACACTAGACTAGAGGCATGGTGGGATAAAATTAATTGGCATCAGCATTCTATCATTACAACTTTATTGAAAAAAGATGGGAGGGTGGAAGTTTTGTTCTGTCGATTTTGAGTTTGGCTCTCACCTACTCTAAAAATTTCCCCTACTTTTGGAATAAAATCCCCTTCCCCCATTACAATATATTGATAAAATACTGGTTTTATTTACACAGTAATTTCTATGTAAGCCCAGTTGTTGACAGTCATTAACTGTGGTTGATTTTGATGATGTATTGTTTCATTATATCAATTTAATTATATTGTTATTGAGATTCTGTTTTTGCTGAGCACCTTTGGGACTTGGGGTGAACTAGAAATGCTGTCAAAAAATAATCTAGCAACTCTCTGAGAAAGGCATTTAATTCTACTTTATAGATACAGAAATAAGACATGAAGAAATAAACGGCCTGGATAAAATCTCACTGTAACAAATCTCATTTTAATGTATGGAGACAGTGCCTTCATCAAGATCTCTGTATTTATTGCAAGACATAGAAAGGAGCTCTTCAGTTGTACATGCCTTGCATGCATACTAAAGGGTGGGGCACACACCTGAGCTTCTGCACTTCTAAAAACTGCTGTGAAAATCAAAGAACAGGGCATTGAACTGAACATTATTTTCACTGGGAAAAGGATTCCCATAGCCTAGGCAAGTTACTATCAGGTCATACAATGAAACTGGATGTGCTCACATGGCATGCTTTGTCACAGCATGGTTTCACTTTGTGTAATATAATGTGTCCACAACCAAGACTGTGCTTAAGGCAAACAGCTTTAACTACAATCAGAAGCCAGGAATTTTAGTTGGCCTGGGCCCATATGGGTTAAGGTATCATACAAACTTACTCACAAACTTTTCTTCCCAAAGAGCACTTGCTGGTTTTTGTTCAGAAAAGCAACTGTAGTCACTACAACTCACCAGCTGTCCCTGAGTGATGTATTTCTTCCACCAGAGATATGGACGCATAGATGGAATAGCAGATAGTCCATAGTAGGAATACATGAGGACATGAATAAAGCTGTTAAGAGTGGCACCAAAATATGCTATAGGTTATAAGGAGAGAGAGAAAATCTTAAAGTTAATGATAAAATATATTGTTTTAAAAGTTGGTCTAAAGAAATGGTAAAATTAATCCTGTACAAACTTTTAAAACTTATACATGATTAAAACAAAATTAAAACTTGGAAACACTAAGGTTTAATATCACATCTGAATTTGAACTGCTTGTAACCTTTTTAATTACATATAAGATGGTTTTCTCCCAAAGCTGCTTAGATTGTGGTTTCTAGAGAATGCTACAAATTGTAATAGAACACTGACTTTGTTTATAGGCCCTAATCCAGTTGTATACATCAACATGTATTTCAGTCTAAAACAGTCAGTTGTCAACCTGCACAGCAATGGAGACAGAAGACTCATCTATTCACATCATACTTTGCATCTGAGTATGTACCAAATATGAACTCTGAAAGCACAGTTCCTGATTTAGTGAAAGTGACTGATTCCTCATCTCGCTCATTTGCTGGCCTGGTGCAGATACAGTATCTGATGCTGGCAGTGTGGAAGCCTCCAGACTGCATGAGCATCTAAACAACATGTTTCCAAGTGTGACATCAATGTGCAGCTGCTACCACATAGAAAGCTTTTTGGCAGCTTCTGCCTGGCACTGTTTTTGACAGTCTGATATCTATTTCCAATTGTAAGTCAGAACATCTACAACAGTGCAAGTTGGCAGGGGACAAATATCTGACAAAATATAAAGCTAAACAAAATAAGACAAAGAAGTAACAGTCAAGGGCAAAAGGTGACCGTGAAAGAGTTAACCTTTATCCATTGGCCCCACCTTTGGTGACTAAGAAAAAAAAAAAGGTTATACCAATTTAACAACAGCTTGGATGACCATCATTATGAACTTTATAAACAATTAAAAACAAAATAGAAAAAAAATCCTTTCAATCTAGTAAATGTTATGTTGAGAACTGACTGTATATAGATATATACATATGATCACTTCTCTTTTAAAGTGAAATTCTTCCAGAAGCATGCACATGCACATGCGCGCACGCACACACATCTCCCATCCTGAGTCACAAGAATACTTACAGTGGCCACAAGGCACCCAGTTCATAACAAACCACCAAATATTCAACATAGTTGCATGGTGGTACACATGAAGAACTGTGATTTGGTGGTTATTTTTTCGTAATATAAAGAAGAAAGTGTCCATAAATTCGATGAGCTTTGAGAAGTAGTACCACCAAAGGACCCGCATAATCTGGTAAGAGGAGAAATAGTTCAGATGTTTGCTCCACAAAGACATGCAAAATAAAAACTTGGGACATATATATGTCCCTGCCTCAAAGACAGGTGCTTCTTGGACAAGATCCTAGTGATCAGTGCTCCTACTGATCCATGGTCTGCTAAACCATGGCTTCATTCAGTAGTGTTCTGTGCTTCCAAACTCAGGACAGTTTCACAGCCAGGTGTTAATCTTACAGAGAAAGCTGTTTAAAGGAAAGGGAGATGCTCCACTGGGTAGTCCAAACACTTTGGGCATGTCTGAAGTAGCTGTCTGATTATAGGTATAAAATAGAAGCTGTGACTAAAGTAAAAGACACTGTGATTTTAAGCCGATTAAAATGTAGCTCAGGTGCATCAAAACTCACAAGGGAAATATTTAATCCTCACATTGCTACGGAGATCCCTGAACAATCTGAGCAAACATGAATTAAGGCCACTGTATTCCCTAAGCTTTTGCCAGGTTGGAGAGACTGAGGATGGTTGATACGAAGGGAGATAACTAGTTCTGAACAAGCTACATGCAACCATATTATGAAATAGCAAGCTAGCCTATAACTGCAGCCCAGGATGAAATCTGAGTCAATTAAAATTAAGTTACAGGACAAAGAATGATTAAGCTCATGCTTAAGAATTTGCAAGCAAGTATGAATTAGGCAAGTAGATTGACCCCCTACCAACTATATGATGGATATCTGATTGAAGAACAGATACAAGGAAGAGGGTCTTTTTGACAGAAACCCCACAAATAAGGAATGCAGTACAAGCTTTTAGGAAAAGCCTCAAGACTAATTTCTTTTCCTTGGCATTATCCAGGATTATGGATGTTGTAGCTTCAATTGTTTGGGGAATTTTGCAATTCTAGCATTTTAAGGGATGAGATGTCTGTTATATTATTGTTACTGGCTTTTAGTAAGTTGTGATATTTATTGTTCATTCGTTTGTAAAAGGGTTTTCTTCCTAATGTTATGAAATTAAGATAAATAAATATATTTCTTGTGCATTAAATCTGTCACTACATATGAGTCACTTTGTATACCCTAAAGTGGAAAATTAACCTTTAGCTTGCTTCATTTTAATGTTTCAGAATTTTTTTTAAAATCCCACAATCACCCCCCTCTCAAGATTGTGCAATCTCTTTTTCCCTACTTCAGAGAAACATTTCAACACCTGGTTATGAAAAGAAAGAAATGGTTGGGACTGATGAAATTTTTAGTCTCAAACAAATGAAGAGACTCAGATTGAGAAGTCAACCATACACCATTTACAGAGTACTGAAAAGCTGTTTATTCCTTTTGCAGATAATTCCCCAAGAGCCATAGTGATAGATTACTGCGGCTGATTACATATCGGTTCCAAATCCTATTCAGTCACAGAATTATCTTTCAAACATTACAACTGTTGATAACATAGTTATAACACTTGACATACAGGTAGTCCCCAGTTTAAGAACAAGTTCCGTTTCCAGGGTCTGTCCTTAAGTCAAATTTGTATGTAAGCCAGAACAGTATTATTGTATAATACT